TTTATTGAACATCTTACTGTTGCCTGTACATAAATTATGTTTATTTTTGTAGATAGTTGTAATTCAGGCTCAATTTTTCATGTTCAATCTGACGAAGCTTTTCGTCCTTGCAGGTTGGTCTGACAAGCCCAGGTTGGATTGGAGCTGATGTTTGCCATCTCAATCTCCACAAAACATTTTGCATTCCACATGGAGGTGGTGGTCCTGGCATGGGTCCTATTGGTGTGAAGAAACACTTGGCGCCATTCTTGCCGTCTCATCCTGTGGTAATTTACTCTTTACATTGAAGGTTTCATGTGATTCTGCAAATTATTGCTTTGTTCATGTTTGTTTTGAACTTGAGATGTGTAAATGGAGGCAGTATCTTTTCATATCTTTCCAACTTTTTGTGATTTATTACATGCTGGATTTGTAAGCTTTTTGACATCGTATTGAAGGTACCTACCGGTGGCTTACCTGCTCCAGACAAGTCTCAGCCACTTGGTACCATCTCTGCAGCACCTTGGGGTTCTGCACTTATTTTGCCCATATCTTATACTTACATAGCCATGATGGGGTCCAAGGGGCTCACCGATGCATCAAAGATAGCAATTCTAAACGCAAACTACATGGCCAAACGCTTGGAGGTTCCTACTTCTTCCTTCACTGTTGTTTTTGCTTTACAGTTTGAGCTAATGAGGTTATATTTGCTCTGTTTTCTCATGTTGTCTATGTTAATTTCTTACAGGATTATTACCCCATTCTATTCCGTGGTGTCAATGGAACTGTTGCCCACGAATTCATTGTTGACTTGAGAGGCTTTAAGGTATGTTCTTAACACGTGTTTCGATTTAGCCGCTTGTTTCTTACATTCTCTGTCTAATTGAACTCTGATTTTTTTTTCTTTTCCTTGTAGCATACTGCTGGGATAGAGCCTGAAGATGTTGCTAAGCGTCTTATGGACTACGGATTCCATGGACCAACAATGTCATGGCCAGTTCCTGGTACTCTCATGATCGAACCAACAGAAAGTGAAAGCAAGGTACACCCCCCACAGAAAGATTTTCTATTTTTCTATTTTTGGGTACTGTTTTTCTTTGGGTTAAGTAACTCGATGTTTCTTGCAGGCTGAGTTAGACAGGTTTTGCGATGCTCTTATTTCCATTAGAGAAGAGATTGCTGAGATTGAGAAAGGAAAAGCTGATCTCCACAACAATGTCCTCAAGGTAAAAACACTCATTTCTTCTGACGGTGAAAGCAAATTGCAAGTTAAATTGTTCAATACTTATAAAACAAGTTATGAACCTTTCTGCAGGGAGCTCCTCACCCACCATCTCTGCTTATGGGAGATACATGGACTAAGCCATATTCCCGGGAATACGCAGCCTTCCCCGCTTCGTGGCTCCGTTCAGCAAAGTTCTGGCCTACTACTGGTATGCTATTTACACCCCAAATAAAAAACTTGAATGGCATGCATTTTGGTGTTGTTCTGATTGCTTTTACTGACAACTAAATTTTGTTGACTGTTGCATCAGGACGTGTTGACAATGTGTATGGTGATCGCAACCTCATCTGCACCCTTCAACCGGCATCACAGGCGGTGGAAGAACAAGCGGCAGCCACTGCTTAGTCTTCAGCTCTGTGCCTTTGAACTCAACACAAAGTCTGGTCATGGATATGTCTGAAGTCATCATTTCTTCTTCTTCTTCTTCTTCTCCTTCTCCACGTTGTGTATATTCATCCATCTTCATACAGCCCTTTATATCTCTGGTGACAATCATTTCCTATTTATGATGTTGACGATTAGATTTTCTAATAATAACTTGTTGCTGATTGCAACTCAGATGTTGTAATTATTATTGCTTCTTTTTTATATATTTTTCCTTCATTAGGGTCTTAGCTGGGATTATACATTTTCATGTTTTACCTTTTTTTTTTCTTTTTTTTTTGGGAGTTTCACTAAAACACCCAAAATGGGGGTTGAAATTATAAAAAAACTCAAGCACTATTGAAACATATAAACACACCCAAAACCCATCATTACACACACTCAAAATCCATTTATAAACACACTCAAAAAGTTGACTTTTGGGTTGATTTTGGGTGTGTTTCTATGTTTAAATAGTGTTTGGATTTTTTTATAAATACATGTTTAGGATTGGGTTTATTTATAAATTTGTAATTTTTTTCCCCCACTGCCTAAGATTTAAACATAATTGGGAAAAATAAATCATAAGAAATAGATGCATCTCTTTGTGTCTGTTATTGTGGAGATTCGTGGATGGATAAATACGACGCAGTCAAAGTTTTATCTTCTATAATATGAGGCTAATCCAATTCATTGACAGTTGTGTTATACTTTGATGTGACAGGCAATGCCAATATGCCACATTTACATTTTAAGGAAAGAAAGTATTGTTCCTTTATCCCCTTATCTACATTTGAACTTGGATGCAAATAGATGAACTCCTCTAACCAACAGATCTAACTAATATTTTCATTTTTATTTTATTAAAACACAATACAAAAAGACTTTTTTTAAAGAATTCCAACGATATAAGGAAGACTTTATTAATCATTAAAAAAAAAACACGGGTGAACATAAGGCCTAACCTCGATTACAACCATCAATAATCGAAGAGTCCTACAAAAAGGTCAAGGGCTCCTCAAACCATTCAAACCTATCACTACTAATAAGCAAAGCCTATGCGTGACCTCATTAGCATGTCGACATATGAGCACAAAAGTAGTCTCTGTCAAACTCTTACTCATCGCCCTAACGTCCTCAATGATGACTCCATGATTAGATAACACGAGAAGGCTTAAAATAAGTAAGATTGCTGTTAAATAAACTATCCACAAAATAATAATTTTTATATTTTAAAATATATATATATATATTTTAGAGATATTTAGTCAGATACTTATTTTTAGCATTAATGATATAAATAAACCATAACAACATTTAATTTCTATACCTGTTTTGGGTTTTTTTTATGAGGTTTTGAAGTTGGGCTTGTTTTAAGAAATCAATGGTAATTTTGTAATTTATAAGAAATTAAAAGCATTTTTATTATGTTGTAAATGAGTTTTGAGTGTGTTTCTAAAGTTCATTTCATATAATATTTTTTTTATAATTTAGACCTTTATATTTGGTATAATATTAAATTTCTCCTATTTTCTTGAATTACTTTCCTTATTAGGGTGCATTCCATTTTCTTTTCCTTTTTTTAGAAGGCAATATTCTTAGATTTCTTATTCGGAAACAAAACGAAAAATGAAGATAATATTGATTATAGACCATAACTTTGGAATAGGCTCCGGGCTTTCTACACGGGCCTTGGCGTATGGTGATCGCCGATCGGTGTCCAAAACAGACCCATACCAAAAAAAAAAACAAAACAAAACAAAACCAGTCCTTTAAAAGCTCTAAACAAATCCGTACGACTTATATATATATATCTTTAAAGATAGAGTGGGCCCCACCTCCAGGGTCCAACAAAATTATTTAAAATAATAAAATAATAAATGACAATGGATAAATAAAATACTATTCCCACTAGGCACTACGCTGAGGTTGCGTGCGATATTTTTTTTTAAACAAAGGAAACCACCCCAAAAAGAAAAAAAAGAAAAGAAAAAAAAGAATGCTGAAGTCAAATTTGTTTTTTCAGCCCCTTGCTCTTTTTTATAGTCATAATTAATTACCATCAAAACGAAGCAAGATGTATAATTTGCATGATTAACTTTCTAATTGTTGTTTATATTTATGTTGGTTTACGTTCTCTCTTTGTCTATCTATTGCCATTGGTACCTCATTTTGCACATTGCTGAGTTCAACGTGGATCCCATACAACGAACGTACCAACGTAATGCTGCACCCTCCATTGCTCCATCCACCACATTGTGAATGAATTTCAAATCATTTGCTTTTGACCATCGCATTGCCTCTTTCCAACCGTAGAAACATCTCTGATCATGATACCAACACATGTTTCGGTATAAATCTCTCACGCAATCTTTTTGTCTGTTTAGTAACATCTTTGTTTTTATTTTTATGCGAGAAATTAAATATAAATGAAAAACAACGAAAAATGACAAGATTGATGATAAATTTGAAAATTTCTAGAACATAGTAGTCGATGCAGCCACCACTCAAAGAAGTGGGGTAGGGCTACTATATCAAGACATTCTTGATAAATGTGAAGGATACCACCAAACGGCTTTTTATATATTTAATTCCTCAACATTAATAAACATCTACAAATTCGCCTAGATTATACAATCGTGTGATGTCTATATCATAAATGTGAAATCAACGCAACATAAAATGATACTGGTGAATCCCACCACACTTCTTTTTTTATCTTTTTCACACCTCAACCTCAACATACACTACAAAACGCATCTATGAGTTACAATTGTCGTATTCTCAATATGATTGTGTTAAAAGTTGTCGAACTCTCTGAACATCACAATATCTATATAATAAATACATAATCAACATAGGAAAAGAATAGCAATGAGTCTTACCACACTACTCTTCATCTTTTTTAACACCTAAAATTGTGTTATGGCTATCAAACTCTCTTAACATCGCAACATTTAGATCATAAATACATAATCAACATAGGAAAATGATATCGATGAGCCTCATCGCACTTCTCTTTATATTTTTCACACCTCAACTTCAAAAAACAATGATGAATACCTATACGAGTTACATTTGTTGTATTCTTAATAGAATTGTGTTACAGCTGTCGAGCTCTCAGTATCACGATATCCGGATCATAAATACAGAATCAGTACAAACATAAATGCTTAGCTCTTCATCATCCTAATCACTAGTTGATATTTGGGAATGGAATGGAGTGAAGCCCATTTATATAAGGCAATGCCATTTTGGTCATAGAGAGCCATAACACCACCATCATCATCACAATCCCAACCGTTGGATATCTAACATTTCCACCTAGAAAAATGCATCATACGTACTCAACGGCAAAGATTGGGTGAAGTCCATAGTAAAGACGTGTGGATGAGCGTACGAACACAGTAGTGGGAGTCCTTCACTTGACTTGGGGGTGAGGAAATATAAACAAATTGTAGAAATTGTTTATTGGTTTTATGGGTTTTTATTAAGCGTGTTGGAGGGAATGAGAGAAAGGGTGAGCGGTTAATCGAAGTCTCTCTCTAAGTGGTGGTAGCTTGACGAAGAAGGGTGCACAGGTTAAGCGAATCTGCTTTGTTTTCTAGTGGGCGTAGTTTAATCCAGTAGACAGAGAGAGGAAGAGAGAGACAGAAGGATTTCATAATTTCCATTGATGATCGATGTCGAAGATGAAGCACCTACTAAGAAAGCTTCACATCGGTGGAGGACTCAATGAGCACCAAAGACTGGCCGAGACCCGACCCGAGACGAGTCCGAGCACGAATCTCAACCCGACCGCTTCTTCGCCGGCGTCGTCCACGGGTTCGGCTACAATGGGGAGAATCACGGCCGTTGAATCGGTGAGTGATCGGACGGCTGGGGACGGTGGTAGCGGTGGGGGCGTGGATTACAATTTCTTGGAGGAGGAGTTTCAGGTCCAGTTGGCCTTAGCGATCAGCGCTTCGGATCCCGATTCGCGCGACGACCCCGATTCGGCTCAGATCGACGCCGCCAAGCGGATTAGCCTCGGCTGCCCGGCTACCGTCACCGACACTCAAGGCCCCTTCGAGATTCTCTCACTTCGCTATTGGGTGCGTTTTTCTAATAGAAATATTTCTAGGGTTAATCATTTTCCCGCATTTACGACTTAATCTGAGCCAATTGGAGTGGATTAGGTTTTCTGCGAACTTTGAATATTGTTCGTTGTGTTTGTATGGTATGGTAATTTGCATTTCGTTTCTTGGATCATTTTCTAACCATAGGGCGATGATAATGGTGTGAGGATTATCTTAAAGAGGTTTGATAGCTGAATTATCGATTGTTTGTATTGCTTACGGTGCCATTGTCTTAAAAATTTCATGTTGAATCATTGTGCCAGTTATGTTAGGCAGGTGCTTCTTGTTAGTTCGGTACCAAAAAATTTGTGAGCCGTAAGAGTAGTGCATTGGTTCAAGGATAATTATTGGTTTCATTTTGCAATTACAATTACTTTCCAACCTTATCTGAATCACGTTCCTTCGGTTTTATTTTTCTTCTTTGCGTCTTAAGTTTGAATTTGATGCGGTATAGTTCTTTAATATTGTCAATTCCGATGAAATTAGCTTCTTAACTAATTTTTATAACATGCAGAGCCAGAATGTTGTAGATTACAATGAAAAAGTGGTCGATGGATTTTATGACGTGTATGGAATGACCTCAAATTCTCTTAGACAAGGGAAGATGCCATTGTTGGTGGATCTTCAAGCTGTGTCTGTTTCAGATAATGTTGATTATGATGTCATATTAGTTAACCGGTTGGTGGATCCTGAACTGCAACAACTGGAGAAAAGAGCATACGCTGTATCTCTAGAGTCACGGATTTCTCAACATGGTGTCCTTTTAAGTGGATTAATTCAGAAAATTGCTGATATTGTTGTTGACAGAATGGGTGGTCCAGTTGGGGATGCTGATGAAATTTTGAGAAGGTGGAAAGTGAGGAGGTACGAGTTACGGAGTTCGATGAAGACTATCATTCTTCCCCTTGGACTTATTGATGTTGGACTTTCACGCCACAGGGCGCTGCTCTTTAAGGTTGTGACAGTTTTTTTACTACCTTATTTGTCAAACTGAATCATAGACAAAACATTGTGCACCATGTAACTTACTAACATCTTCATTGCTTTTCTCAAAATCCTTCTCTCATTCTATTGCCCTTTCAATTGCTTTTCTGGTGTTAATTGTTTCATACCTTTGGTTCTAGGTACTGGCTGATAGGATAAATCTTCCATGTATGCTGGTCAAAGGTAGCTACTACACTGGTACTGATGATGGAGCTGTAAACTTGATTAAAATTGATAGTGGAAGGTAATGGCCACCAATTCTAAATTTCTATGTTTATGCATAATTTTCTGATAACTTCAATCCAGTAAATCCTGTGATGTAGTAACTTTTTTGTGCCTTATGCTTGTCGCTGAATTGTTACTTTAGCATAATGTCATGCTGTGTCAAATGGGATTGCAGATAGTGATGGTTTGTAGGGTAGTTTATGAGGGTTTGGATGATCAGATGTGGTGGGAGTGCCATAGGTAAGGGGAGCAACATAGATGTGGGCTGTAAGCTCAATTTGTAGCCACAATGATTTATTGAGCACAGCTCTTATTCCGAAAATTGGAAATCCAGATGCTTAAAGAACACCGTGTCCAACGTTCATATGAGATGTTTTTTCGTTATTCAAAATGTACTTATGTCAAGAGGCTGATACAAAATTAGAATATTTTTGGTTGCTTTCTATATGAAGTGCTTTGATATGTGAATGAAATTTGAAAATTATATCCATACATATATGTGATTTTCATATATTCTCTGCAGGTCCTTTGGTTTCAGATGCCTCTCTAATTTTAAGCTGTTTTAACTTTCTATCATGTTTAAGTAAGGATATTAGAATTAAAGGTTCATGATATTTGTTTTCTGCTTTGCTCCTAAAATTCTGTGCACATTTTCCATCTAAGGTGAATTGGTGCAAGCCGGAAGATATCCTGGAACTATTACCGATGATTAATGGGGTTGTTTCTCTGTGCAGTGAATATATTATTGATCTGATGGGTGCTCCTGGAACGCTAATTCCTGCCGAGGTGCCCAGTAGCCAGCTACCAAATTCTTTCTTTGCCATAAGGAGCTTTCAAGATGCCACCGAATTGCCCAAAGATATGTATTTGTTGCAAGCTGAAGGCACTGGAACGTTGGCAGTTCCACCTGATCTTGACAGACTTTCTAGAGTTGGCAGCTCACAGTCAGAAGAAGCATCATATGTAGGTGTTCAAACAAAAAATGATAGAAGCGTTGTTGAAGAAAATCAAACTGAGAGTTTGAGAAGTGAGATTGGGACTCCTCTTAGATCACTTCGTAAATCATGTGAAAGTTCATCAGGCACATCTGAGAAAGCCACATCTGCGCAAAAAAGGAAAGTGAAAAATGTGTCAAAGTATGTCATCAGTGCAGCAAAGAACCCAGAATTTGCACAGAAACTACATGCTGTATTGTTGGAGAGTGGTGCATCACCTCCCCCAGATTTATTTTCAGATATGAATCCTCAATATCTGGATGAAGCTAAATTGCTTGATCAAATCCATGCAAATGGGAAACTTGTAGATGATGGGATTCATAATTATCTGGTTCAGTTATTATCAGGCAACGAGCAATCCACTCAAGCTGCTGCTGCAGTGAGCTATGACAATTTTGATAACTTTCTAAAACAATCTGCCGTGGACTTAGCAGAGCAACGAAATGAATTGGAGACAAACAATTTTTCTCTTCCCTCTGATACTGTTGATGAGGGATTTGTAATTGTTTCTGGTGGAACTAGTGAAACGACCCAGATTGGTGCTAAAAGTTCAGATCCTGTTCTTGTTAGTCCCCTAGGAATGGATTCAGAAGCTTTTCATGAGGATAAAAGCCATGAACTTTCCTTATCTAAACCAATAGAAACAGCCAATAGTGGCCTGTGTACTAGTTGCGATAGTCACTATGAGAGGTACCCAGCACTGGGAGAAGTTGCAGAGTGGGAAATTTTATGGGAGGATCTTCAGATTGGTGAGCGCATTGGCATTGGTAAGCACCCATCTGTTGCTTAAATTTGGTATATGTTTTAGAAACAGGCTCACAATATTTCCTCTCTGGTAGGTTCATATGGTGAGGTATATCATGCAGATTGGAATGGCACTGTAAGTGTTCTTTCCAACACTAATAGTCATTTGTCGTATTCCTTTTCCTTGGCTATACATACAAAGTTACTTAGCATGTAATATTTTGTTGATCCTTTGATTTAAAGAAATGCTAATATTTGCAACAATTTGATAAATGCTTTTAAACTCTCTTTAGATACTTTAAAATTTATATCAGCATATTGGTTGCATTTTTCTTATTGGTTTTCTTGTTGAAGTAGAAGTGCCAGTTGTTGACATGGTTTGGAATTTCTTTGATATCCTCAAAATTTCTCTCCTTGACAAGCACTAATAGTAGATAAAACATTTCCCAATTTTTTTAATCATATTTCACTCAAAGTTTCTCTCAACATCAATATTTTGTCAATATTTTGTTGATAGTTTCTGTACTTTCAACGATGATACTTTCGTTAACATCAATATTTGATATGCTGTTTTTTATTGGCATATGTTGGTTTTTGATGATGGCATGAGGCTTCTTGTGGTAATTCTGACTGCTATCATTACAAATTGTTTATCGGTCTGTGTTGACTTTTTGCATGACAGGAAGTAGCTGTGAAAAAATTTTTGGATCAAGATTTTTCTGGTGATGCTTTAGTTCAGTTTAAATGTGAAGTAAGCATCAAGACTGGAGTTTGTATATCATATTTGTCGATTATATATAAGCATAAAATTCAAATTCATTGGTTTTGTATTAATTATAGTTGATTTTTGGTGTATGTTCATGCAGGTAGAAATTATGTTAAGACTTAGACATCCCAATGTTGTCCTTTTCATGGGGGCAGTTACTCGCCCTCCCCATTTCTCTATCCTGACAGAGTATCTTCCCAGGTTGATTTCCTTATTACTTGTCCTTTATCAGATTTGTTATATTTCTGAAATTGAATGACCATATGTAATTTAAATCATATAAAGTAATAAAGTAGAAGGAAAAAAAAAACTGATGTGTATGCATGCGGTCCAAGATAACTAGGAAAGCCTGTAACTAGGCAAAAATAGGTCTATCAAGCAAAAAATTCCTTTACGGGGGCAGGAACATCATCCAACCAACTAGACATCCACAACCATGTTTCCTTGACATTGAGTCATTAGTTATCTGTTTAATCTTATTCTCTTGTTTTGTTCCTTAATCATTCACTTGATACACAGGGGGAGTTTATATAGATTGCTGCATCGTCCCAATTCTCAACTTGATGAAAAGAGGCGAATGCGAATGGCTTTTGATGTGGTAAAACATATTTTTTTTCTCATTTCTTTGTAGTTTTTCCTTTCTGGTTTCTTTTTGATTTCTTAATCAGTGCTCCCTTAATTTATGCAGGCCAAAGGAATGAATTACCTGCATACTAGCCATCCTACTGTTGTGCATCGAGACCTGAAGTCTCCAAATCTCCTTGTTGATAAGAATTGGAATGTGAAGGTCAACTCAAAACCACCACTTGCGTTTTAAGTTCTTCCCTGATAATGCTTTTTTTATCATTTATATTTTTTCCTCTTTCAATCTAGATAGATTGATATTAATATCTCTATTGGTGAGAGAAAAATTGATTATTCTTTCTCAAACATCTTGTTTATATTGTGGTGCAGGTTTGTGACTTTGGGTTGTCACGTACAAAGCACCATACTTTTCTGTCATCGAAGTCTACTGCCGGGACGGTAATATTTGTTCAATGTGAATCTTGAAAACAAAGTTGAATACCCTATCATATGATCAATATCTCATAAAAAGGATTTTTTACAAGAATAGAAACTTAAGTACCCTTTTGTTTTATGTACTCATTGCATACTATTGGAGTGCAGCCCGAGTGGATGGCACCGGAAGTTTTAAGGAATGAACCAGCTAATGAGAAGTAGGTTGCCGGAAGGTGGATGCATTTTGGGAATTTTACATTCTGGAGGTTACCATTACAATAAGCTTTGCTTGTTGCTTGCTTGCAGGTGTGATGTGTACAGTTTTGGTGTCATCTTATGGGAACTGGCTACTTGCTGCGTCCCATGGAAAGGATTGAATCCAATGCAGGTTGTAGGAGCGGTTGGATTCCAAAATAGGCGTCTTGAAATTCCAGAGGACATGGATCCAGTGGTTGCTGAGATAATACGTGATTGTTGGCAAAGGTAAGTTCTACACTCTTTAGGCAAAAATAGGGAGTCTGTAGAGAGCCAAGTTTCTTAGAAATTGAACCTGAACAGCTTGACTTATACCATAACTGAGCTTGGCTAATCCAGATTTGCTCCATTTGCAGAGAGCCAAATCTACGGCCTTCGTTCTCGCAACTCATGGTCCGTCTCCGACGTCTTCAACGCCTTATTGGAAGAACAAACTCTACAAATCAAACGACTGAATAACCCCAAAAAAGAAAAACTTTACCGTGTTAATAATTGAAGTTGAAGTTGTTCCTTGTCTCGAAGAGCGAGGGCAGCATATAAGTTTTTGTCTTCAATGCAAGAAGGAAAAAGAGAATGCTGGATTTGGAAGTGTTGGCTCAGTCAAAGTGGGGGCTCAGCACAACCTATACGGAACAGAAGAGTGGAAAACCCTCCTAAATTATTAGACTGCATAAGAAGGGCAGTGGAGGTCCCATTGAAGACCAGTCTCTCTAGTAGTAGTAGTAATAGTAGGTTGTATCAAATCTGCATGTAAGAAAAAAAAAATTGTAGAAAAAAGAAGAAGAAAAAACTGAAAAAGAAAGGAAGAAAGAAACTAATAATTCTTAATTCTGCTACTGTGGAGATCTCATTTGGGAATTGTAAACATCTGATCTCTGCATATGTTATTGTGAAACGAGTAAATACATTTGGAGGAAGAAAGAAGAAAGAGGAAGAATTTATGTGCAATCCGGAACTAACATTATTTGTCATTGTACGCCTTTTAAATAAACTTCAATTTAAATCAAAATAATAACCCCAATATTTCTATAAAAAAATTAAATAATAAAAATATCTCTGAATTGGATTGAGAGAGAGCAAGAGGCCAATAACGGCTCAGAGTTTCAGAGCAGAGAGATCATCGCACAGTGCCGCCATGGCCTCTGCTGTTCTGTACACATCACCAAAACCACCTCCACCGACTCTCCTCTTT